CACTCGATGCCTTCAGCACACGCTGACTAAGTGATGTATCCGCGGGGCAGACGAAATGACTTAACGTGCCCTCCTCTTCTTCCTCTGTGTCCCTGTGCAGGAGTCTGGGCTGCCCTGGTGATGTTTCGAAGTTGAGGTAATGGCTGAAGCTGGTCGGTGGGAGACGGCTGGAGGCCCAGGGCACGGTCTGGGGGGTGCGCAGCGCCTATGATCTGACCCCGCAGCCTCTGCCTTCGCCGGGACGGGCAGCATGGGGAACAGTGGCTCGGCGGGGGAGGGGACGCCCGCGACAACACATCAACTGGCTGAGCCTGAGCCCGGACGGGCAGCGCCTGCTCACGGGTAGCGAGGATGGCACTGCGCGGCTCTGGAGCACTGCCGACAGCCAGTGCCATGGCCACTTCCAAGGTACAATAGCTTCTTTTTGCCTAGTTTTTGAATCTAAAGCCTGGCACAGGCCACACAGCATGTTCTGTTCTCTTTCAGTCACTGCAGCCAAAATCATGCTTGTTTTCTTTTGTGTTTTTTTTTTGAGCATTGGTTACAGTAATGTTAAGCAGAAGCTGTTTCAACCCAAAACAGGTTACCAGCGCTACTGAATGCATGGATCCTTTTATCTCAGGGTGTGGAACATAGCAGTTGTTTAACTTATGTCTCTTTACAGCAGCCCTGTTTTATACTCTGATGAAATCTGGATTTTCTTTTTCTTTTTCTTTTTCTTTTTCTTTTTCTTTTTCTTTTTCTTTTTCTTTTTCTTTTTCTTTTTCTTTTTCTTTTTCTTTTTCTTTTTCTTTTTCTTTTTCTTTTTCTTTTTCCTCTCATTTTCCAGACAATCTGGACCCAGAAGTCTGGAAGGAAACTTTTGTAAATAGGCTACTTTTCCCCCCACATTTGACACACAGAAATGTTAATTGCTGGGCTTTCTCATTTTTAAATGGATTTTGTGTTTCAAACAAAGTTTATTATCCTTAGGCTAGCGTCTCAATAATTAAAAAGAAAAGAAAAACTCTGTAGAAAGTACAGTCATTCAGGAGTCAAATATGGACTAAAGATGCTTGTATTCTTACTCACTGGTGTTCTTTTCTCTTAATATGAGGTGGGGGAAGCTCTCAGATTTGGAATTCCTGATCTTTTTTTCTTCCAAAGAAGAAATCACATTGCTGTGATTTTTTTGTTGTTGTTTGTTTGTGTTCTTCCTTGTTTTTAACTATGGAGTATTGTCTTTTTTCCCCACATCCTGCTATGATTCTAGCTCCTGGAAAACTCACGGCATTTGCTTTAGGCTTAGAAATCCCTTTAAACCACTAATTAACTTTTAACTGGAAAGACAAATATATTGGATAATACTCAGAATCTGGCCTATGTACTGCTAGTGTTTGGGGTAAACTCTGAAGAGGGTTGGCTAGATGGTTTGTGAACTGTCAGTCAAATCAGTTAACTGTATGTATTTTATATTTATGCACGCACACAGTTGTTGTGTAAATTTGTGTCATACAAGCTATAGTTACTGATAAACCTGTATCTATAACACAGTTTCAAGCTTCCACCACCGCATAACCAGCAGACTTCTGTGGTGGCTGCTTTTGACCAGACCAGCACCAGACCTTGTCTGCCACAGGGGGTTTTGGCATCCTTTGTGCAGCTCAAGTATTATTGATGGTTAAAATCTGACTGACAGACTTCAGTGCGGTAACCAAGATGCTTTTCTGATCTTCTCAGAGCAGTATTTACATGATGCTGTGAGACAAATCCCAGTGGTTGAACCTGTCCCATGTAAGCTGCTTTGCAAAAAGTTTTCACAAAAAAGTGAGGATGGGTATAGTTTTGCTTACAGCCCTGGTGATCTGTTTAATTTTTGGCATCTGGTGAATTTGCTTAAGAGGAAATAAGACGTGTGTTTGTAATGTGGATTCTGGTTCGCTTTTGAACTACAGGAGTTGTAGTAAAATCTGTTTTTTGCAGTCAGTGAAACAAAGGGTTTTACTGGGTAGTCTGCTTTCCTTCAGTTTTTTTTACCATCTCTTTATTCTACAACATGATTCTGTTTTTCTGTTTTCTTTGTCCATCTGCCTCTCTTTAGTCATATTTGTCCTCCTTATATTTTTTCTTTTCTCCTCAAAGAATAGTGTTATTTAAATCACAGTAGGGCCCACCAGCTTCAACCAAAGTCTGGGGCTCTCTTGTGGTAGGTACTTAAGGGGAAACAGTTCTGATCTTGAACGCTTACAGTCTAAATAATTAAAACAGAGGAGTGGAAGATAATACTACCCTGACGATTAGATAGGTGACAACAATTTCACACAAGAGATCTTGGGTAAAGCTGGGACTTGAATCCTAATGTGATTTTTAAATGCAGTGCATTTCATGTCACGATAGAAAAATGACACCTCTTGCTAAGCAACAACAAAAGCTTAAGGTTGTAATATTGATTCCTCTTCACTAGCATTACCCTGTTTTTCAGCATGAAATTTTTAGAGTAGTGGTTTTGTCTATTTTTATTGTAACTGTAGAATCCCAACATACTCTGAATACTGTATAAATAACTGTGCTCTTAATTCTTTCTTTCTGTGTCATTTCCTTAAAGGTGTACTGATATTTTGAAAATTGTGAGGTTGTTCATGTTATTAGTCATAATGGGGAAAGTATTGGTTGAGTTTTTACCAGATATGTTTTTTTGTTTGCATTTCATTCTGCTTGGACAATGAAACTAAACTTGCTGGTAAGTCTCGTGTCGCTTCCTTGTTTCGTAGTTTCATGCTTTAATTTAGGGCTGTTTGTGTCAATGGGCTGGGTCGAAATGCAGCCTTTTTCCCTGAGTTCAGAAGAAGGAAGCAAAAGCATTTATTAAAAAGATAAGCCAGTTTTTTCAGTCCATTTGTTTGTTGTATTTTTCTTTTAGTTAAGGTGAAAAGCTCAACTAGTCTGTCCTGCTTGCTTGCACAGTGATTGAATTTATTTCCTTTGTCATTCCTAGGACATGAAAGTTACATCACCTTTTGCCACTTGGAAAACGAGGCTGCCTTCACGTGTAGCGCAGATCATACCATTCGAAAGTGGGATGTGATGACAGGTCAGTGCCTGGCCATTTACCGAGGACACACATCAATTGTTAACAGGTTGGTTCTGTGGATTTTTTCCCTTGTGTTCCTGTAATCTGTTATCGCGTATATTGTCATTTTACCGTAATTCTCCATTACTACACTAATAAAATGGGTTGTGTAAACCTTTGAGTTCATGCTACACATGTTCTGTGCTGTAATGATTCGTTTTCCTAGCAACGGTGCTGACACATCCATAGACAGCAGATAAGAGAGAAATGAAAGGCACACAGCAGGGGAATTGAATCCAGGGCTAGGAATGAAATTCCAGAAGAAATTAGTCAATTGATAACAGATGCTTCTGATAAATAGATTTAAAAACATCACGTCAAGCCTTTGTGTCGGTAAGAGGGATAAAGTCAGGGTTTTTTCTGGAATTACTATTCCTGTTTGTGCAAATGAAGGTTATTATTAAACTGATTGTGTGTGACTGATTGGCCTGTCAGTTTAAAGTGCCTCTTAATAGTCGGACTGGATTTAATTAATGACTAATACAGCAGTCAAAGATTGGTATTCTTTTCTTACTTTTTTTTTTTGGTGGGTGGGTGGGTTTTTTTGTTCCTTACTAAACTCAAAACACATACGACGTGTAGCTAGATTCTGTACGTAGTTAGGAAGGCTGGCTCTGTCTGTATTTTGGCACTGGCCTGATTTTTGCTTGAATCAGCAAATGGGAAATGTGTTCCCTATTCATAAGACTTTGTTGCCAGTTTGAAAGGTTCCAGAGGACCAAACTCAGCTGACAAACAAGACTGGTTCTGATGTTCCCTATCTCTGGTTTGGAAGTATGAACTTCTGTTGTTACATGTTTGTGCAGCTACTACTCATGATTTTGGAAGCCCAGTAAGTTGAATTCTTGAGCTGTAATCTCTGACTTGCTCTTCAGTTACGTAGTAAGTGGGGTGCTCTTGCTCTACCTTTTTTGAGATCCTGGGCTAAGTGAAATTAGGTGTATATCTTTTTTCCTGCACTGTCTCTATTTGATGATGGAAAGATGATCTTTGCACACTGTCAGCTACAGTTCAAGTTCCTGGAATGTATTTATTTTTGTTATTTTAATGCCAAGCTATTTTCATATGTCAGTTTATAAATAAATATTTGTAAAGAAATACTAATAAATAATTACCTAGAGTGAGTTCTGTTCTTTTTTTTTAAAAAAAAAAACCACAACAAACTCTTAGGTAGTATATGTAACTTATGAAAGTACATAATAGTGCTGCTGGAAAAGATTTAAGAAAAACACAAATGCCCAAAGTTACAATGCGATACTGTAAAACTGTCTGCATCAATGTACCTGAATAAGGGGTCTCAATTTTAAAAGTAGAAATGGGGAAGTGTGTGGGGTTTTTTTTTCTTTAAAAAAAAAAAAAAAAAACCGGCAAAAAAGTTCATAGATAATGTGTATTAAACGGTGACTGAATCGGGGTTACACATGTTGTGTTCATGCTACTGTTTCTAACTTCAGGGTGCTTGGCATTGAAATTGTGACCAAAAATGGTTATGTAAAAAGAGTGATACTGTTTATACATGCAAACTTCATTTTTTGCAGGATCCTGGTTGCCAAAGACTATCTCTTCAGCGGCTCCTATGACAGGACAGCCCGCTGTTGGAGTGTGGACAAAGAGAAACAAATCCAGGAATTCCGGGGCCATCGGAACTGTGTCCTGACTCTAGCTCACTATTCCTCCAGGGATGTTCTTGAAGAAGAGGAGGAGGAAGAGGAGGAGGAGGAGAAAGTGAGCAGAGACCTTCTGGTGACAGGTAGCACAGACTGCACTGTTAAGGTCTGGTGGGTGTCCAGTGGGCGCTGTTACCAGACTCTGCTGGGACACACCGGGGCTGTCTTATGCCTTATACTTGACGCACCAAACAGGGAGCTGTTTTCTGGCAGCACGGATTATACCATTCGAACATGGAATATTGTCACTGGTGAGCAGCTGAAAGTGTTCAAAGAGCATCAAGGATCAGTAATTTGTCTAGAGGTAAGAACAGAGGCTTCTTGAAGAGCCGTTCAAAGCGGGTATCCACAGCCTAACTCATGTGGGTCTCAGTTGTCTTTTCATAAGCTCTTCCAAGACAGGTTATAAATGGTAAGCTAAAACATTCATTTAATAACAAAATAGTGCTGTGTGGCCTTGAGACAAATCCTCTTTCCCTAAAGCACTTTCTGATATCCTCTTGGCTTCTAGTGGCTATCCTTGTCTAACTTCTAGCTCAGTATCTATTTAAATCCTCCTAGGTCTTGAAACACATGAGTAGGTTTGCTGGGAGGACTGTTCATCTGAGTAGGATTGTGTACACAGGATCACCAGACTTTGAAGAAAAGGAACCTGAGCAAGTAAACAGACACGGGGTCAGATAACTTAAAAAGGGGAGGGGAAAAAAAATTCAGAGTAAACCAGATAACTTAAAAAAAAAAAACAACAAAACAAACCAACCCAAACCCAACCCAAAATTGTGGGCAAAAGATAATAGGAAAGCATAAAGCTGAAAGAAATCCTACTTTAAAAACCACACAGACATAATTTGAGAAAAGAAAGGGAGAAAGAGATGGCCAAGACAAGAAAATGGGCAAGGAAAATGGAAAAGAGAAGTAGAGCATGGGGGAGAGAAATCAGGAAATAATGAAGGAGAGAGGGGAAAAAATTTAATGTGATCTGAAAAACTATACCCTGTTTTTCTGTTTGCAGTATTTTTCTGGTGAATGCTGCCAAGTTTGTTAATGTTGCAGAGGAGAGAAGGAGGTTAGGCACATGAAGGAAAAGGGGAACTATCGCACAAGCACTTGCCCTCTATGCTCCGTTATCCACCAGAAAATGCTAATGGTATATTTAAGGAAGGTATGTGATGGTCTGTAACTTAGTTTCAGGTCAGCAGACCTTACATTTTTATAACTGCGTGTCTCTGACTGAAGTTAAAGACAATAATTTTTCTCACTACTCTCCTTGTTTGTATTTGTTGTCCCTAGGTGCTTTTCCTTTACAGAGGCTACAGTACGTATTTTTAATAGCTGTTCAGTAAATGTTGCCTTTGTTTCTAAAGAAGGTAGTCACAGCTGACACTAGCAGCCTAAAAACCCGATAATACTGGAGGAATTCTGTTTTCCTTCAGTTTTAGAAAGGAAAAAAACCCACACAAAATCATTTTGCCCTGGAGTAATGTTTGTCTTGCCTGGGTAAATTCTCAGTGTTAAAGCTTGTTTGTATGATATTGTGGTAATGTATTTTGAGGATGCTCAAGCAAATCTGTTGGTGTTCTTGGTGTCACGCTATGTTTTGCTGTTTAATTGTAAGCCTTCTCCAAGGCACAGATTGGCAACAGCAGAGCTTGCTTTAATTTAATTGGGTTCTTGCTAAAATTGTTACACAAAACTGGCTTGACCCTCTCCCAGAAGCCTGGGAAATTCAGTTATGCTCTTTGAATGCTCAAGAATGAGCAATGCTTCTCTGCTTGTGAGCACAGAGTTAAACAATGGTTTTAAACAAACACAACTTCTTGTAGGGGAGGAGAAAAGCAAACCCGACACATCTATTTGGAAAACCTGAACAATTCGAAGTACACAAGACTATGGCTGCCAAGACTGTGTTGGCAACAGTCCTGGCCAAATCTTCTTCTAGCTGTGAGTAACTGGTAGCCCCTCACGTCTCTCATCACCAGTTGATGTTTGAGGCTGGAAGAGTCCAGCTGAGGTACATGCTGCCCCCACAGAGAGCATTTCGTTTCCAGGCTTCTAAAACTTATCCCAGCTTAAGCAGTCACTGTACCGCTGTTGAATAGCTTTAGGCTGTCGATCTTTCCTAATTCCTCCCTCTTCCTTACTGGGTTCAACACTACCCCTTCTGTTCCACTTGGCTGCCTCTCAGCACAGCCCACATGGTATTTTCTTTGTTTTAGAAAGGGGTCAATCACCAGAATCCATACAAAGATGTTACAACAGAAGGGAAACTTCCTGAATAGAGGTGTTTATTTTTTTTAATTTTTGTTTTCTTCTCAAAAAGCTCTTGGAGCCTTTCTTGCCTAGGGCTTCTTAGTGACAGTGTTGCAATCTGTGGCAGTGAGTTGGGATAGTATTTTCAAACTGGGGGTCAGGAAGGACTTGGAGGTATTTGTGAGTTGCTCACAGTAGCCAGCAGACAGTTTTAATTGTTGACAATAGTTCATTTTCTTCAGGGCAGAAGTGAGCTGCTAACTATACCAGATTTTCATTCCCCTGACCTGGAGGAACTGAGTTGGTACCAGCAATTAAAGCTAGTTACCTGTTCTCTAGGTGGTGTAATGCTTTTGTGGAGAGAATAAAAGGAAAAAACTAAAGACATATTTTCATTTTATTTATTCAAATAAAGATCCCTAAGGGAGGGTGACCTTTCAAAGTTTGAGAAATGCTCAGTGTGATCTCTCATCCTGGACACAGATCAGGAAAAATTTGGATATTGAGACCATATTTTCCCCAACTTTAAAAAGTACTGTTATTAACGGGAATGCCCCAGGATGTTCTGAACTGCTGTAAATTAGGTCTGGACTGTTCCAGTCATCTCCCATCACTTTCCAGTAAATACCAATCGTGTCGCTGTAGCAGTGAATGGAAATTCCTGGAGCTTCTTGAAGGAGCCTTTCTGGGTAGATATCCATAAAGCACACCCATGTTTTCCGCCTTGCTTCCTGCAGTGCTGGCATATGAAAAGAGAGGGGTGATGCCACAGGCATGTTTGGATTTTGAATGTTCCTTCGTAAGATCCTTTAGGTGTTGTTGCCAGCTAGAGTAAGTTAGAGGAGCCTGAAAGCAACTCCAAACTAGCGTGGCAGAACGGAAAGCATTGGTTTTAGCTTTCCCTTTTTCCCCGTCCTTGGTGATCCTGGACAGTGGAGTGAAGAGGGTGAGCTGCTCAGATACTCCCCAGGGCTTGTCCTGCTGTCCTGGGGTCAGTCTGCTGAAGGTGGTTTACCAGCTGAACTGACTGCATGTGGTCTACTGTCAAAGTAGTTCTGCTGCAGATGCCAGCTTATTCTAACACTGCTGTTCTCTTCCTTCTGCTATCTAAATTAGACTGACAAAAGCTTTGCCAGGAGACTTGCTATCTGCAGTGGGAGTTGACTGCATGCTAGGTGCTTTGGCGGCCTCACTCTCATAGTCAGGCAAGGTAACTAGCGGTGCAGCAGCCAGAACTCTTCACTCTTTCTCCTGCAGTGCATTGATAGCTTGGCAGGCAAGGGACAGCAGCTGTTTTGAGCGCTCCCTCTTCATATAAGAGCCAATGATGAGATTTTATAGGAAGTGATGGGAAAAAGCAAGGGTGGGCTGAGCGTAGTCACGCAGCTCATGCTAGTTGTTCCACTTAAAAATTTCAAGCCTGGCTGAAGACCAGTATTTGCAATTAATATTCAAACATGCATTTTCATTAACGTGACTGCCTGCAATAGGCTGAATGACCCTGACTTAAATATTTACTTGTATATGTTTTTCTAAATGTCTCCGAAGTAGCTTTGCAAACTGTTTGCGAGGATTGCTTTGTCCTTTGCTGATTGTTCTGCCTCTGAGTATTTATCAAAATTGTGCTGCCAAAAGCTGGCAGAGAGAAATGATCCAGCTTGGAATTTAGCTTGGATCCTATAGCGAACATTCTTGCAAAAAAACTCCTTTCTTGCAAAAGGAGTTTTAAATGAGCATGAGTGGGCAAGGACTTGCTTCTGGTTTTCCTGCAAAAGATCCTTTGTTTGGACCATTCCCTTTAGTTGCCTTTTAAAGCTGACTAGAAGAAAAGAATGCTTTGAACTAAGCCGTTGCCTGAACTCCGTTTATACGCTTAACTGTTGTGGTCACAGGGACAGATTTTTTTTTCTTGTCACAGCAATTAAATTAAGTGCACATATATTTTGTAATTTTTGTTTCTGTTTGTTGCATAATTCATCAGAGGATGAAGATGTGAATTAGAGGAATATGAATGTGTACAACACCTGTAGAAAAGAAACATTTCTAGGACCATTACTTTGCGCTGCAGGAAAAAAGTTGAAAAACGTTCTCTAACAGCCAGACCAGAGAGCTCATTCTAGATGAATTCTCAGGAAAAAAACCCAATTTCTTTCCCACAGGGAGTTCGTTAGCTTGTTAAAATGAATGTGGTTTGAATGGGATCCTGAAAGTCTAACTCGGCCGAAGGCTTACATAGCTGTAACTTGAGATTGGTCCAAGTTGGTGATTTTTAACTTAGAAGTGGCTGTGAACAGAAGACCCAGCTGGCAGATTGTAGGAATACTGACCTCCCTGTGAAGAACAAGCTGGTAATGAGATGCGGTTGCTGATGTGAACTCATGAAGTTCCTGGGAGCCAGTCTGAGTGCAGTGACCTTCAGAAAGAGGATGTGTCCAAATCTGTTTGGAGAGCCGATTGCCTCTCCCTGGATGAGGGTTAAATTGTTTCTTATAGCAAAGGTTAATTGGGAGAGCAAAGTCCATTCCTGTAAGGTTAAAATACCTACTAAACAGCTCTTCTGCAGATATTTTTGAAATTTGTACAGGTAGAAATTGTCTTAAGCTGCTGCATATATTCAGTTCAGCCAAGCTTGTGGAGCAATAGGATTGTGATTGTCTCAAGAGACCAACCCTAGATGTGATAGTTTGTTTTTTTTAATTCAAACTGCGGTGTGTCTGGGGGTGACAGCCAAGGTCAGGGTTGCGTAAAACTGGCATTTTTTAATAATAAAACATGTAACTTCAGCGTTTACAACCTGTATTTTGCTACTGCTGTTACTTTGCTACTCACAAGCAAGTCTGACTGAACTTTTTCATGGAATAGTACGTCTCCGGAACCTTGGCCTGAGGATTAAGACAAATTTGCTCCATTCATGTGTCTCAGTGTTTCATCCAGTTCAAAGCAAAGTCCCGCAGAGTAATGAGATAAATTAACAGTCCAGAATTACAGATATCAATGCAGTGACTTTTTGCTGTCTGGCTGAGGCTGTAGAATTGTGCATCTGACTGTCATCAGGTTTTTAATTCTTTTGAAGCTGCTTGGGTTTGAAATGTCCGCTCAGCTCGTTAGCATCTGAGCTTCAAATCTGTTCTGCATTGTCTGCTCTGCTACAGGTGTCCTTGCCTTGCTGTGCTTTCCCTTGTCAGGAGCTTTGTTGGGCAGTTAGCCAAAGTGAATGAAGTGCTCAAAAGCCAGCCAAGGAAAATACAGCTTTGAAAATATCACCGCTTCTCCAGGCAGTTGCAGATTAGAATATGTAACTGTTTCTACTGATCATTTTTAAACCAAGAGTTGACAGACTTGGGTATATCTGGAGAAATCTGTTGAGTGAAACTTTACATTTTTCCTTCTTAAATCATAAGAAAATTAAATTTTTTAATAAGAATAGGACTGGAACCTAGGGAATTGGGTAAAGGTTTGGAGACTTTGGGCTAGAAAAGCCCAGTACTTATGGTCCTGAGGACCTAGCCCACAAGTGATTTGCTGACAATGACTGTGCCTGGATGCCCATACGCAAAAATGGGTGCCAGTCTTGGCAGCGGGGAGACTTCGCTCCCACTGAAGCTGCAACATGATCTCGCATTGTGGTGAAGAAGTCGGTACACTTTGCCCAGCTCCTGAGAGGGGATGGACCTCCTGAGCCTAACGTGTCAGCGGGGATGTTTAACCCAAGGAACAGCAACATACTGTTTTGCCCAGTAGTCTAACGGAACTGGTGGATCTGGATTAAATGGCCTCTGCAGGCTGAGGAGATTGGAATCCATTTGGAGGGTCTCATAACTGCTGGATAGGAGAAGCCAAGCTGGTGTAAGGAGGTTAGCAAGAGTCCTAGGGGGAGAGCCAGCAGAAGGTGACCTAACTAGGAATCGGTGCTTTGGGGACCTGTCTGGAAGTGGCCAGGGGAACTGTGCTACAGTTCCTTGGGCTTTTTAGATAGTTTTCAATACAGTCATGACTTAAGAAAAATGATTACAGGAGCCAAGGACCTGTGCTGCTGGCTGACCCAAAGACCTCCACTGCTTCCACAGCAAAGGTGGCTTGTGCCCAGCCAGCATGAGGGCATCTGCACAGTGTGTCCCACCTTGGCGGGTTAGAGCCAAGGCTGCCGTGTCTGCGTTGTTGGGGCATAGCCACACCCTTTGGATGCGAACTCTGAAAGAAGGCTCTGGAGTAAAAATACCGATTTGACATGGGTCAGATTGGATTGGTGCCTCCGCCTTGCTCTTCTCAGACAAAATCCCATCTGGTTTTCATATGCTCTCTTGGCCAGTTTCAGGGATAGTGTGCACTGTTGCTTGTCACAACTGCCCTGAAGCACGTAATGCTTCCTGTGCGTTGTAGTAAGGGATGGTTGCAGCCTGGATCGGCGTCCGAAATCAGGGCTGCACTCTGGGATTTGGGCAGTCAAAAGTTAGGATGCTATAAATATCAAGTCCCTTTTTGGGTGGACTTCAGTTGCATTATATCACGGTTCCCCATCTATAAAGTAGGGAAGGTATTTATTTTATATTACACAGAGTGTGGGGCCTGCCTGTAAGGTGCTTTGGCTAGGGGAACAGTATGTGATGATTATTATTATGATGATGATTAAATACAGATATCTGGAGTTGTAAACTAGACCTATCTTTAGTCAAGTGAAGGAGAAGTCATCTCACCTAAATTGATACAGATGGCTACAACTGAGAAGGCTGTCCTTGTCAGGAGGGAGAAGTAGTGAATTTTAAGGCGTGATCTGTTTCAGACATCTGCTTCAGGATGAGATGAGTCATGCCCTAGACTGCAGTGACTATAAGGAGACTTATCTTAGCTGTAGATATCTGCATTAATTTAGATGAGATGAAGCCTGCATCATGTCACTAAAGGTAGATCTGATTTGCAGCTTCAGCCTGAGCTGATAGTTCTTGATGGCTTTCTCCACTAATAGCTGTTTTGTGCTCTGTGTTTTAAAAATACCATGGAAATGAAAGGCTGTGTGACAGTCAGAGCCTGTACTGGGTTTTGCTGTTGGCTGTGCTGCAGGCTTGGTCTGTGGCATCCAGTAGATTGTTTAACCTGTTAGTATTCCTGTTTTCTGTGCAAGGCTGAGAATCCTCTGCTACTGTGCTCACCTGCTTAAACTGGTGAGGGGGAGAAAGGTGCATAAAAGTATATAGTGCAGCAGCCTGGGTAGCACAGAGGCTTTGAATTTAGTGAAGGTGGTTGGTGTGTCAGCCAGCTATCCAGATCTCTGACCGGGCATCGGAAGCTTTTATGGCTCTTATGATCCTGGTGCTATAAATTACCTGAGTAAGCCCACGTCATTTAACACATTTTTATATCTAGCAAGTTAGCAAATCTAGGCAAGTTGCAGCTTTTCTGTTTCACTTCAGCGTTTATACGCCCACCTAATGTAGAAATGAAGAAGTGTAACATACTGTACCATTAAGGCAGGGTGGCATTTTCTTGCGGGAGGTTATAACTTAGTTTTTTTCCCTTGTTCAATGGGGGGGTTGATGCTGCTAGCAAAATGTCTGAAAAAGAAACGCAATGACTTGGCTAAGAGCAATGCAGCAGGTTCTCAACTCAAAGCAACCTCTTCCATTTAGCAGGTGCAATGTGACAATGCTTTTCATGGCTGTTCAGGTTGAGCCTGGAAATTAAAAGTCAGGTTACCTTCCTCAGGCTAACTGTGTAGCTCTCTGTTTTTGTTAGTGCTGCTGGTCATTCCTTCTCTTTCCTCATTGAGATGTGGTTTTGATACCGTTGCAAAAACAGCTTAAAAGTAATTGGATGTGACATTTCAAAGTACTGTTGGCTTTTAACAGTGGTATGTGTTTTACAAGCTCCTGACGTTTAGCTATGAAAGCTGTCCCATGGGGCAAGTTCTGCTGGTAGGAAGTGTGGCATGCGCTGCTCCAGCTGGGCTGGTGGGAGCTGTGGCCAGCGAGCACCTTGGTCTGCCTGCGTACGTTTCAGCGTAGTCCCATCACTGTAGTGTTTTGTATCTTAAAAACCCTTTTGTTTCATGTTCTTGTGACACAGTGCAAATGTTCTTTTGCGCAAAGCTCACTTACGATGCCTCTTGGGAATGGGGGTGGAGATGGGAGAGCGTGAAAAACTACTCAACCTTGCAGATACCGAGTGTCCAAAGAATGGGGACTGAAGGTTTGTAATAATCTAAGGTGGCGGAAGAACCAGACCCTTACAAGTGACCTAAGAGCGAGACTCATGTCAAGCTGATTTGTCATTTGTTCTGCAGTTGGTTTCCTGGAGACATATGAGGAGTGTAAGGGTTTAGTGCTCTGGTGGGCACTTGAGCCTTCTGATCTGTGTGTCTGGAGGGGAAACACGGTATTATTAGTCCTTATGTAAATTCTGTTTCTCTGGGTGGGGGTCAGGGTTCTCCCTCCTGTCTCTCTGTCCTTTTGACTTGACTGCTGCAAGTCCGTGAAACTTACCTCAAACTACAGCCCGTGGATTGCTGTGAGAGCATGCAGTGAGTGGCTGCCTTCATTACCCTGCCTTCAGATGGCAGGTGTTGGGCCAGTTCTCTGCTTGGAGGAGTGAGCAATCAGAGCTGTATGTAATGATGGCTGTTAAAACCTTTAGTTTGTTTTCGTTAGATGGACATAGAATGCAAGATTTTTCTTTTCCCTGCTGAGCTGCCAGGGTTTTGGGTAGTTTGTTACTGCGTACTGGCTAGTTTTATAGTCTTGCACAGGTCAGTTACTTTCTCTCCATCTCAGTTTCCCACCTGCAATCCTTCCCTCTGCCATTCTGTGTTGTGTCTGTGGGGAATAAAAACCAACCTCCACCACTAGTGAGTTCACACAGCGTGCAGGATGACTGGTGTAATGAGGCACTGTTCTTCTTTGGGGTTTATAGGCAGAGTTGCTCTAAACACACAGCAGAGGACAGTCTGATTGAAGATGCTTGTGTAAGGATAGTTAATTACTTAATCATTTGATAGCACATCTAAAAAGACTTGTGGAAATGCAGATACAAAACGGTTTCAAGGAAGAGTTAGTGTTTCCAAATACTGACCTTGTGCAGAGTGATCATGTTAAACCCTGGTTTTTTTTATGTAGGACTTTATTTTTCATTTACTTTTTTCTGTTACTCAAAATTGTTCTGATTTTTTTTTTGTAATTACAAACTTATGATCTGATAAGAGTGCTTGTCAAATATGCTTTGCAGAAACTACACTGCAGGGTTTTTTTTGAGGCTGCATTCATGTAACTAATTATGGAAGTAGGGTTAGCATTGTTAAGCTTACTGAAATCCTGCCTGCTTGCACCAGCAGATGGGCTAAGGTTTTTATCTTCTGAAATGTGGGAGCTGTTTTTAAGGCCGAGAAGTCAATGGGAGATGCAATCGTGAAGAATGCAAGGTTGGTTTTGTTCACCATCTCTCTGTTTCAAGGTGTAGTTGCTGCTCTTTGTCACAGGCTGTTGAGTTGGAAACCGTGACTTCAGATGAGTCACTTCAGTGCAGTTCTCTCACGAATGTGCCTGAGAGACTATTGCTGATGTTTTTTTCTCTTCCCTTCAGCTAGTGAATCGGCACTTGTATTCAGGAAGCGCGGACAGGACAGTGAAGTGCTGGTTAGTAGACACTGGGGAGCGAATCCAAACGTACAAGGCTCACAAACACAGCGTTAGCACTTTGAAATACCACGCTGGGATCTGTAAGTTGCCTTTCCTATGTTCAGCAATCCCTTGTCTCCTTTTCGATGTTTGTCTTTGATCAAAGATTGTTAATAGAGAATACTGTAATTTTGAAGGCTTGCAAAACTGTCACTTTTTTCAACTCCAGCATGTTTATGCTCAGTATCAGACTTCGCTGCACTACTCCATGTGGGAAGCGTAGATCTTCCCTCCATTTTCCACCTCCCTCTTCTGGCAAATGAAGAGGCAGTTGATTTATTTCCGTTACCAAGGGAAGTGGCTTAAATCCTGAGCTGTCTGTGGGTTGTTTGCATAGCCGTGGTTTAACCTCGCTAGTCTGATGTCTGTCAGTCTGCTTCTGCTGCATACTCGGGGACAGCAAGTGCTGCTGCTGGATATGCAGCCCTGTGCCTGCCTCTGCTACCTTGTAGGTACCGTGTAATGGACTGTCCTGAACCAGAATCACATCTCAGATGCTCACTGCTTCTTTCTAACAGTTAGGCTTCCTGTTCAGACTCTGACCATCTCTTAGATTCGTTTTCCACAAATTCTTTCCCTTTATCTGTCCTCTTTCATGTATCTGTTCCCCAAACCACCTTTCTGCAGTAGCCAAGCATTGCTTGCCTTACTAATGCTTGGGACACAGTTCCCCTACTTTCAGTACTCCTGTTAATAGTGGTATCTGTACATAACTAACTATTGTTGATGTAACAGTATATTCTGACCATGAAACCTCCGTCTTTAAATCCCTTTCTTAGCTGGCTTTCCTTCTGCATGTCATCTGTTCATTTCTGGGTTTGGGTTGCAAGACTGCACCTCTGTTTTTATCAGCCTGAACTTCTCTGTGTGTCATCCTGGTCTTATCCTGCCGCTGATGTTAGACCTGATGTGCCTTTATTTGCTTCCCAAACAAGTATTTCTCTCCTTCAGGGTAACCAGGATGGCAATGCCTGTCTAAAGCTAATCTAGAAGTTCACAACTCTTTTCTCATTTTGATTTCTGTACTTCAGCTATGAAGGGAACACGTAACACCAAATGAATGGTTGCTATTTGAGCCTTGATATCTCTTTTGGCAGATCATCAGTGAGATGGTGATAAATGGCTGACAAGTGCAAGATGGTACACATTAGAAGAGTCGTACCTTCACAGGCAGATTACAGTTTAATAGCAGTTGTCTAGCACCATGCTTGACATGGCTGACTGACCACACTTATAACCCAGTAACTGAATTGATTTCTTAATTATGTTTGGAAACGTGATGTGTAACCAAGCCCATAGGTAGATTTTGATTTTAATGAGGAAGCCTTTTTTTGGTCTTCCTTTCAGCATTAGACCCACAGCACTACTTTTCTCCATTAAAATAGTTAATTGTAATTTACAGTTAATTTCAGCTCTCCTCACCTCTATTGCAGAACTACCCCACTCTCCCCTACCTGCAGGTTATAATTTCTGCTGATTTCAGCTTTTGCAGTTGGCTAGATGGCTGAAATGGAAGGGGAAAGGGTCTGAGCTTATGCTGCACCCTGACGTTATTATTGCTGAAAGATGCAGGTAGGTAGGGCAGGGGAAATGAACCAGAAATTTTAATCCAGGATGAACACTGGCAAACATAATACTGATTTGCTTGTGTGCGTGTGTGTGTTTTCCCCCTTTTAATTATAAAGATATGAAACAAAATATTGAATTCATCGAGACTACCCAAAGGCGAGACAGCTGTGCTAAGCTGATGTTAGCCTGATCCAGTGAGGAATGTTCATGTCTGGATGGGAGATGGAGAGGCTGTCTCCTTCGTTAATGAGACCTCCAGAGCTGCATTTTTTCAGTGTTGATCCTGCTTTTCATGCAACCAGTATAGACTTGACCTGAGTCTCTAAAACCATCATAAAGAAAGTTTACACTCAAACAAAAGTTTCATTATCTGATGCCACCCCCATCAGCTCTGCAGCTTTCTCTCTCTTCCACCTCGTCCTACCACCCTGTCCCTGCCATACACATTATTTTTCTGTAACACTCTTTTTTTTCTCAAAATGCAGGCAATATTGCTGCATTTAGTCAGACCTGTGAAGAACATCCTGGTAGTGTGGTAGAAGTGTTCAGAGAGTTATTTAAGATCTCATTTTAAATCAAATGCAAAAATACTGAAAGTGTCAAACAGGAAGAATTGAATTGTTCCACTTGAAGCGTAGAAAAAATGTCATGGAAAAATATTAGAGACTAGTTTAAATTCAGTTTAGGCACATTTTAGTTCTTGAAAGAGGAAATTTCCCCTTAAAAATGAGTTTAGGTACTATGATTGTTTGCATTATTGTAATACATTGTAATTCTAACTGAAACAAAACTATTACATACTGTGTAAATAAGTGATCAAAGACATGTTCACTGGATACTAAATGTTGGAGCTAGTGTAGCTTAAAATTCTAGCTGTTCACCTGGGCCAGATCAGGACTGTGTGTCCATTCTCGCCACATTTTTGAAAAACAGAGAATACTTCAATATAAATGATGTTTATTATGGTTTATGTCACATTTGCACCAGCCTGAGAACATGGAAAGCATCTCAGCTGAGAAGTGGTAACTTTCTGTTAGCAAGCAACAGAATTAAGATCTATCTGATCAGTACCCAAAGGCTCATTGCCCCAAAGAGTTTACGGTCTAAGTAAGAAAATATGGTAGATGAATGAGAGGAAAAATATATGTGTGTTTCGAAAATGGCTTTGTATTGTACAGGGAGTCCTGACAGATCTGAGAACTATGCTTTAAATCATCAGAATGTGTTTCTAGTGGCTTTCCTCAGTCTGCTTGTGTAATTAATAGCATGGGGAATATTAAAGCTGGTTCTCAATCTAATTTACTTAATGATATTATGTTGGTTATTTCTTTCTTACAGTATGTGCACAGTCACTTAAGATTTAATGCAGCTTATATTTTTTCATGTTGCAAAAACTCCAAGGGAACATTTAATACCTGCTCTCCCTCCCAAAAGTCTCTGAAATTTAAGTAAAAAATAATGAATTGCTGATTTTTTTTTTGTTTGTTTGTTTCACAGGTGGTATATATAAGCATATATTTAAATGCTAAATCTGGGTTAGATCAACAGCTCTCCTTTGAAACTCAGAGGTGCAAAGAGACTTCATAAATCTAGAGTGACAGTTCAAAAGACATAGAAGATGCCTGTCAAAAGCAAAATCCTGATAGCGATACCTAAAGTAAACTGACAGCTGCATAGTGAAAGCAGCTCTTAATTGGTTCGTACTCTCTGCATGTGTGTAAGAGTATTAAGTGATTTCCATTCACTGGAAAAAAAACCTGTACCTTGTTCCCTGCTTTACATCGTTGTTACTCATTTGCAGAATGGGAGGCAACGCTTTGTCAGGATTGTTGGCAATTGAATTTACAGTGGCCCATATAAAATGACATTGATTTTCCATATCCAGATGTTTCTTGAAGGTGTACCCAGGAAGTACCCACCTGCCTGCTGTTTTATTTGAAGTTGAAAAGCTGATGGCTGTAGGTAGCCTGTTATCTCTTCTTGTAGTCCTGAATTTACTGCCGTGATAACTTCTTCACCTCTCTTCAGGGATCCAGTGCCCGACTTCTCCCAAAGGATGACGAATCTGTTATCTTCAGGGACTTCAGTTTTGTGAAAATCTTCCCATGCTAGGGGCTTTTGCAAATCCACGAAATGCAGGGAGCCGTGAATATATTGCTTTTTGCAGTTCTGAAATAGTTATCTCTAGGTAAACTAGAGGAGTTTGGGTTAAGTGAAGGAACGTGAGTTTTTATGAAGACAGTTTGTAACCCTTAAAGCACACAAATGGGCTCCTTTTTGGGCATATTGCTACGTATAAAATCTAAATATTCAACACTGCCTTACAGTTTCCAGATGCAGCAGTTCTGGGGATCTGATGTGAAGATCCTGAAGTGTTGAGAAATTGTTCTTTGAACATGTTAAGATACCCTAAAGAAGGCTGATGAGCAGCCAGAATCCCTGGTCATCCTTAATTTACTTAAACCCCTCCCCCCTCTTGTAGCACGTGTACAATATAGCACATGGAATACAAGTGTTACAGCCAAAACCCTCAAATAATTCTGTGCCATACTGAAATAGAGATTATAGCCTGGGCTTTGAATCACTTAAAGGCTCTACTGCTTGCAGAGATCCTAAGCTACAGGATTTAGCTGAAGAAATCTACCACACTGAAAGAATTTCTAAAGCTTCTTTGTAAAGCTGCCTACACATGCCATTTACCTCTGAGGACAGAAGATTTAACTGTGGTATTTCAACAGAAACGGCCGTACCTATTGATAGTAAGCTCATGGTTGAAAATGGGGGGGAAAAGGGGGATGTTTTAATGAAGCTAAGGCCAAATGCGTATTATTAGTATTCAAGGTGGTAACACTGTCACTGTGGTTTGCAGCTCCACTGTACAGATGCTTCTGCTGCTTGATGCAGCAGCAGAAGTGACGAAGATGCTGTAGGACTGAATGGAAACCTGGAAATAACTATGGTAAAACAAATGGAAGGCTTAGTGGAAATCCTGAAAACCAAACTTGGGATAAATTGCCTGCTTAGAATTATTGAGGCATGTTTAGGCAGGGAAATATACATGGAAGAGAAGGGCAGAAACAGGTATTTGAAGTGTGTGTGGAGTGAAATGCTGATGTATGTAGGAACTTCAGGCTTAAGGCAGGTCAGTGTTCTGAAAAACACGAATGAAAAAAAGCATGCTGGGGTCAGCAAAATGAAAATTATCTGAACTTGCTATAACTGCGAAGAGAATTGAGCCTAAGAATGATACGTCACGCTCCTCTGTGAACTAGTTTTAGGTACATCTTGAACTCATGCGAACTGACCTTCTGTGGCTGCTCACATCTGGCCATGTGCTGTGTTGTGTGGTTGCGTTGCAGTGTTCACAGGAAGTGGTGATGCCTGTGCAAGAGCTTTCAATTCCAAGAGTGGTGTCCTGCAGAAGATCTTTCGAGGGCACAAGTTCATCATCAACTGCATCCAGGTCAGGAGGGGGTTTCTTCACTGGGATTTCTCACTTCTGATTGCTCCCTCGTTTGTTGTGTGGGAACTGGTGTGGCTAGCTGTTCTGTGTCTTCGGGTGGATGTTCTAGGGTAAGACGAAAAGTAACAGACCTGAGTATTCCTTTTGTAACTTTAGACAAACTCAGTAATAATAAGTGAAACCACAGACCGAGTCCCCAGAAACAGTCCCATGTCTGTGACTGGAGGTTTTGCAGGTCAGGTTAGACAAGCAACTGTAAGAAATGGTAGAATCATAGAATCATTTAGGTTGGAAAAGACCTTT